GGTAATTAAATTGAATTGTGAATCCTAAAAACGGTACACAACATATTGTCTCTTTCTGTGAATCTTATAAGACAAGAATCCTGGGATGAAGAAAGAAGTCTTTGCTTTCATATAGTTCCAACTCCACATTTGAAACTAAATCTTGGGTTTGTAAATTTTTACCCCACAGCATAATGATTTCATTTTAACCTGCTGTTAATAGTTCAAGACCATTACTTAGATCATAAAGAGGAAACACTTCCTGAGATATCAGTCTGTGATTCTTAATAGTGCCTTCTCCATCTTCTACTGTGAAATCTCTGATAAGATTAGACAAACCACCCTGTAGCTAATGGCATCCTCATCTTCCCAGACAACATGTGATCATCAGCAGATGAACTTCTTCTGGAAGAGGTCAAGTAAACTAAAGGTGACCAGTAGGAAAACAGACTCAATAACAAAGCAGAAGACAAGGCTACCAATGGCTGATGGAAAGTAGATTCCATGACCATAACATTACAACATCTAAACAAGCAGTTATCCTGGGAAAAAATTTTTGGGGTCACAGGGAACAAGGAAACGGAACAGATGGGGACAAACTGGAATGTCTGTTCTGTTGAAATGTTTGTTTTATTTTCTTCTGACTGTGATGTACTACAGAGTTATAGTAAGACATTAATTCTCAGGAACCAGTCTCAGTCACTGAATTGACTAACAGACTTGGTATCCATAAGAATCTATTAAGTAAATATGTTTAGCATTGATTGGGGGACCAGTTACCTGAAAAAAGTCGTCATTTTCCATAAAGCCCAGCCAGCCCATGCATTACGAGTGGATTTCACAGAGCAAGATAAAGCTGCCACTTGGCTGCATTGATCTCCAATGTTTCACCAAGTTTGTGAAGCAAATTATGCCTTTTGATGGGTATAAATTGCCCTTTTGTGATCAATAGTGAAGCTTATGAGGTCTTTTTCAGCTGCCTTCAGTTTTCTCTTTGAATGGCAAAAAGCACTACCTTAGCCTACAGTAACTAACAGCTGCTGCTCACCCCAAGTCCCAGAAAAGCCAAAAATAGGCCTGCTAGCCTCTTATTTCTGGCAGGATGATTACAGAAATCTGCTTAACCACACTTAAGAAAATGGGCTAAAGTTACACCATTAAAAATCTCCTGAGAACTTCATCAGAACAATAGCAAAAGCTCATCACAAACACACACAAAAATGATAGTACTCTGTTCTTCCACATATTTTACTACCTTGGGAAATAACAGATGAGCTAATATAGGAGGCACATGTAAAATATTTATGAAAGGCAAAGTAATTGAGATAGTAAACTCATAAAACAATAATTCCTCTACTATATTCAGCACCATGTGCAAAAATGAGAATTTTTTCTTACATAATAAAATGTACTGCAAAAGCTACAGATGAAACAGTAAAGGAGAAGCAGAAAAATACAAGGCAGAGTTTCCTTCAAGAGGCTACAAAGAATTTAGGGGAAAAAAATATCTGCAGGAGATGTCTTGTGGATGTTTTTGCTGGTGTTATTTCTTATAAGAATTTGTATTATCTTCCTCACAAAGAGTATAAATATTCTGGCTTCAGGCATTCCTTTTACTGTCCCTATAGAGCAGGATGAGTACTCAAAATTCTTCTATAAACTCCAAATGATGTCCGTGGGGTGTATAATAGAAAAGTATTTTCAAACATGCAGCTACTAGCTTTTGCAGCCCCTGTATTTCCTACCTAGTCAAAACACACCTGATGATTAAGTAATTAGAGGCACTGAACAAACTGACTTCAAAAAAAAGAGTCACATCAAGTTTCACTGGGAGTTCAAAGTAGGTTTCTGATACAACCTCAATAAATGTGGCGGGGGGGGGGGGGGGGGGGGGNATTAGGCAAGTCCAGGGTAGAGAGGGGCATTTGTACACCAGTTCTTTGCTCTCCTTGACTTACCCTCATGACACATCATTCCTCTTCAATCTTGAAAAATGAAAATCCTGTACAGAAATAATAAAACTTGATCCTGGGGAAGATAAAGGGATTAGTGAAAATGTCAAAGGCAGCATGCTTGCTACAGAGAGCTCACAGCCTGAGCCAGTTCTCTTTGGAAGGGTAGATGATGGTTATTAGCACAGTGTGGTTTCAGAAAGGCCCACCTGTCTCCAAACAAGGTTTCTCAGAGGTCTCATGTGTAGCCAATTGCCTTCTTAAAATTTTCATTGGTTGTCTCATTCTTTGCATATAAATGCAAACAGTTACATGATCATTCAGGGACTTTTTATACAGGCTATTCCATGGTCCTCATCAGAGATAAATAAATGATGAAACAGACAAGCAAAGTTCCCATATATTTTCTGGTCAAAAGTATAGATAATAACAATAATAGCAACAAAGAGAAAAGATAATCATAGGAAAAAATCAGGCAGAAACAATGGGGCTAGCCTGTTTTAAAACCAGTTGATGTAACAGAGTAACTGGATGCTTTAGATTAGGTGACCTGATAACAGCCTTTCTGGGGAGGTGATATGTCAGATGCCAATGACAAGAAGGAGCCAGACAAGATCATCAGAGAGGAAATGTTCCTGGCAGAGGCAACAGTTACTGCAAAGGCACAAAGTTGAGAAACAGATTTGCTGTGCTGGAAAACAAAAACAAAAAGGCAGAGAAAACATGTGGAATGAGGTGAACACAGAAAGAGAGGCATAGACCAAATCTTACTGGTATTTATAAGCCAGAGTAGGGAGTTAACATACAAAAAAAAAAAAAAAAAGCCCTTGGAGGTGTGTAGGTAGGGGACTTGTGTTTAAAAATACAGTCATTCCCCAGTATCAAGGAGGATTGGTATCAGGAGTACACAAGTATACAAAGCCATGGATGCTCAAGTCGTTCATATAAAAAGGCATAATATTTGCACATAACCTATGTACATCCTCCAGTATACTTTATATTGCCTCTAAATTACTTATAATTAGTAATACAATATAAATTCTGTATAAATAATTGTTATATTGTATTCTTTAGGGAATGCCAAAAACTCTGAACATGAAGAAAAATATTTTTTCCAGAATATTTTCAATCTATAGTTGGTTGAATCAAATAATGCAGAAAAAGGATACAGAGGGCTAACTATATTCTCACTGCTCTGTAGAAAACATATCACCAGGAGACAAGAGTAAAAACAGGAATGTCAGTGATACAGTTACTGCCATACTCAGAAGACAGACAATGGTGGTTTCAAACAATGGGCTACATATGTGAGGTCTCTGAGCAGTATGGTTTTGGGATGGGTGGGCCTTTCTGTCTTTTCTTGACAAAGGTAGTGGGTGCAGAGAGAAAAATAGTCAGGTGTTCAAATAGAGTTGATAGGATCTTGTAATAGGTTTGATGTTGGATATACAATGAAAAAAAAAATAACCATAAATTTTAGACATTTGGTCTGGGTAAGATAGTGAGACCATTTACTGAAGACAGGAAGGCTAAATAGGGACAGGTTACAGAATCAAGAGTTTTTCTTTGGACACTGATTTTGAAATTTTCATGAAATATACACATGAAGATGTCAAGCAGGTGCTTAGATACAAACGAAGGGGCTCCAGAAGGAGCACATTTTCAATGACCTGGAGTACTCCCCTAAGTTTCCAGGGACCTGGGTTTTAAAGTTTGCTTCCTGCTTTCTCTTACCTTCTCTAGCTTTGTTGCTGGAAATAAAGAATATGAAAATACTTTGCAAATAATAAAATAAGGCCCTTACATTTTGAATTACAATCACTGCTCATCAAGCATTTGTCTGGTATACACTGTGTTAAAAATATCTTCACTGTAGAAGCTTCAGGAGATGTAGGTTGTGCAATTCCTATCCTGAAAGATATGTAGCTGTAATGGATTCACATCATAATGAAAATTGAACCTTGTCCTAACAATAATAAAAGGAAAAATATCTCTAAGATTTAGTATGCCACATGACTCCACTATGAATTTAGGCAACCACACAGACTTGACTTTAGAGGTTTTCTCATATACCTACCCAAGTTATCAATGCAAAATGGAGAGACTTTAGTTTTCCTAGTGGTGGACTTGCCAAAAGATTTCAGGGCCCCACGTATGATAAACATGATCCCACAGAATGCCACATATCCCAAAGTTCACAGTTACTCCTTTATGTTTAAAGAAATTTCTATGTGAAATGCAATTTTCCAGGGCAAGAACATATCCACTATCAGACATGAACATTTTAGCATGATATTAGTTCATATATCCTTAAAGGATGGGACAGATGACTGGTCAATTTGATCTGGGTTGTCGTCAGATGGCCTGCAGGACCAGCCCCTGCTGTTCAGGGTATGTACAAACAGACAAATCAATAAACTTGACATACATAGACCTTAAAGGTAGTGTAGGGCCATTTCTTTAAACTACTCTATTGGCAATATGGTTTCCTCCCATGGGGAAGGAGGATACTTGTTTTTGTCCTCATTCAGTGAAAAGGAAAAGCACAAAGGGTGAAATAGATAAAACTTCTCTGTACTTAGATTTCTTATTTAAAAAAATGCAAAACGAGCAATGAAAATATATCACCCCTCCTCTAAGGCAGTGGAGTTCACAGATGACTCATGGGGCCCTGCAGGAGTCACCACTTACCAGAGATAACAAAACTAGTTAAAGATTTTGAAAATAGTAAATAACAAACTATAAGAAAATTGATTGAATCTTTTGATTTTGTGCATTGTATTTCCACCAGTTTATAGATTATCAAAGTTAATTTTCAACACACAAAACTTCTTTCAGCAATGATTATGTTTATAGATTCTCTCTACAGGAGGTATGCTGTGTGAAGGTATGTTCCAAGATACAAACTCATTTTAAACAGAACATATTTGCAAGTTGACCTATTACAGCATTAAGCCAAAGCCAAGTTAAAATGAGTTTTAACTTAATTTTAATGTAGTGTCTGTGATAATCCATGCATTTCCTATGTGACCTACTTAACCGAGTTTTCTGTCCCACTTTGTTTTGCAGCCTCTGCAAGCACGTATGTTCCGACGGTGTGCAATGGACGGGAAGTCCTAGACTCCACCACCTCGTCTCTGTGATTGTGATTTGCAGTTCAGTTATTGTGTTTTTAGACTGTTAGACAAATGTGCTCATGTGCAGCTCCAGAATGGAAACAGAGCAAAAGAACAACTCTAGTACCTTTTTTTAGAAACAGTACAATAAATTATTTTTGAGGACTGTACAGTATATAGTGATGTGCTAGAACTTTCTAGGATGATTTTAGTGCCCCTATTATTAACAATTCCCCAGAACATGAAAATAACCATTGTTTACAGAGCTGAGCATTGGTGACAGGGTCTGACAGGGTCAGTCTACTAAAAAAAAAAAAAAAAAAAAAAAAATACGGTGGCAATATTAGGTAACTTTTTTCCTATGAAGTTTTTTGTAGGTTCTTGTTGTAACTAATTTAGGATGAGTTTCTATGTTGTATATTAAAGTTACATTACGTGTAACAGATTGTTTTTCTGAGCACAAAATAAAAAGCATCTGTATTAATGTAAAGTTATTGGGAATAAAACCTTCAAGGTTTTCCAGCATGGTGGATAATGGTTTGTCCTTTTTCAATCACTTAATGTAATTTGAATGTATGTATTTTAGGTCACTTTTACTTTTAATGTTGGAACAAATTACCTGCTTTTCTTCATATTCATGCATGCTAGAAAGTTGTGAACAGATCTGGACTTCTCTACAGATAATAATGATCAGAAGTTGATACCATATGCACCTGGGTACTAAAGTGATTCCATACATATTAGTTTTTTTCTCTTTTTAAAGCCATATCAGTATGAGAGCCCAGAATTGCTCAAATAGAGCTCTTAGGCAAAGAAAAATTTACTAAATCCTAATATAGAAACTGGACTGCCAGAAAAATCTGATGACTCTCATTTCCAAACACAAACTTCATTACTAGGAAACAGACTGGAAAGCATCTTGTCCTTTCATGGAAAATCACTCTTACTATTCATAGTGGAATGAAGCAATAGAAATACAGGGTATCTTATTTCCCAATGTTTTCCCAAAGTCCAAGGAACAATGCTCAGGCACACAGGCTTGTCACTAAACTTGAACATTGTATTTTCCTAAATAAAGGAGTGAACAGGAAAAGTATGGGTAAGCTAAAACTGGCTTATTCTTTCCTAATACTGTCCTATTTCTGCCAACCTTGTAGTCCCATATCATTAATTAATGTGGGAACATTTACTGACAACATAACTATCTGCCAGATCCTGCACCAGGTGCCATAGATAGAGAAGATGTTAGTTTCCTGTGGCTGATATAAGAAATCACTACAAACTATGTGCTTAAAAATAATACAAATTTTATTCTCTCACAGTTGTGGAAGCCAGAGGGCTGAAATCAAAGTGTCAGGAGGGCATGCTCCTTCAGAGACTCCAAAGAATTCATTCATTCCACACCGTTTCTAGTGTTTAGAGGTTGCCAGGTTCCTTGGCTTATGGCCACATCATTCCAATTTCTGCCTCCATCTTCACATCACATTCTCCTCTGTGCCTATCTTGTTTTCTATGTCTCTTGAAAGATACAATTAAGGATGTCAAGATGAAACAATCTTGGATAATCTCAGTGGGCCCTAAATCCAATCTACATAAGTTCCTTTGTCTGAATAAAGTTAACACTCTTAGGTTCCAGGGAATAGGATATGGACATATTTTTTGAGGCCACTATTTGGTACACAAAAGGAAGAAAGATGAGTAAGATGCAGTCTCCACATTTAAGAAGCATAAAGACTAGAAAATATTTTAATGAGGTTACCTGTGTCCAAGGAAGATAGTGAAAAGAAAGCAGAGTAGAATCAAGGATATGAGGGACCCTCAAGCTAAATAGTCAAGGCTTGAAATAAGCAAGACACTGACAGTATTTTTAAAACATCCAGAAATTATGAACAGGTGTATAAAAGACAACAGGACTGGCCTTGGAGGAAATAAAGTATTCAGAAGTTAGAAATTCTCTTCCTTCTGAATGCATTTGAATCAGCAACCTAATCAATCAACCCAAAGCTCACAGATACTTGAAACAATAGTGTTCACTAGACCCTGAATTCTCATATTCAAACAGGAACCTGGAATTTGGGTAGTAATTGTGGTAGACTGAGTAAGACATTCAAAACCATTAAGTGACAAAAATGAATTCTGCTGTGACTGAAACTAGCAGGAGTGCCAGATAAGTGCACTCTGAACGAGCATCTGTTCAGGAAAAAACTGAGGTAAGGCTGATGGGAGAGAAAATAAACTGAATCCACTGATGGAATGTGACAGTCTGCGGAAGACAATATCAGATGGGTTGTGCAGAGATGCAGCTGATGCCTCAAACAATCAAAATGATCACCGACCTTTTAAAACAAGACAATTGGGCTTGTGTACAAATCATGAGAAAAACGGTGGTTTTGAGGTCTGGGTTTTTATCTATGCTCACTTTATTTCATGCCCTGCCAGTACACTGAAAAGACATTAACTGACATCTCCTGTCATTTTCTCCTGCCTTGCTACATGACTTGTTTCAGATTTGAAGTGCATCACATAACATGTGTTGCCTAGAAATATTTTTTTAATTCCACATATATATGTGGAAAATAGCTGCTATAAAATATTTTTTAAAGTAAGCCATGAAAACTTATGTTATTTTGGGGGGTTTTCTTTCTCTACATCAGAAACACTTTGTCCTTCTGTAATATAAAACTGGTTGAGACAATCGATCTTTGAAAGACTTCCTAAATTTAGGGAACCTAAGCTAAATGAAACATTCTATTCATTAAAAAAAATCAGAACCAAACTGTATATTTGATTAGCCATGATTTTCTGAGTATTTACAGATTCTGAGGTGTTCCATGTAACTCCAGTTTCAATAAGAATAGATTTTTCTGACCATCGAAGTTTATCATGATAAAATAAACCAGTTCCTATTTTTGAACTGTGAGGCAAGATGCTTTGTAGACCACACACAGAACAGTTTAAAGAATGGTGAGAAAGGAGGTAATTCAGCCAGTGGACTTTCTCCGCCTTTGACTACACATCTTCTTTCTGCTGGTTCCTGCTGTATCCATCTGCCCTCTGTAAATTTCAAGGCCAAGAGCTTTGCAAAGAAGGTTTGTGAACTTGGAGAAGCTATGAAACTGAAAGGCTGGGAACCAGGATTATAACCAGAGCTCTAAAGACAAAGGGCCAAACCCACAGATAAGGCAGTTAGTTATCCATCCTGCTCTATGACAGAAGATTTTGATTTGCATAATTCTCACTGGTTTAACTCTTATTTGAAATGCAATCAATGGTCCTTGAAATCAGTTGTCTCAGATAAAAAAAAAAAATTTCCCCCTTCAATCCAAATATGCCAAAACCCATAAGCTCTTTTAGACAGAGCTTTCCTTCTACAAGTTATTAATAAGATGAAGAAAATTCTAGCAATTAAAAGCCTTAATGGAGCATTTTGTACAGGAAAACTTGAAATGAGTTTCTTGAGTCACCAATCATTAAAGAAATCCTGAATGCCTTTTGCAGCTCTATATGTCTTAAAATAGAACTGGGGATGAAGGTGTACCCTTCCTGAATGAATGTAAATAAATTAGGGAACACTCTCCAGTGCCAGGTCTCAAGACTCTATGCTGGAGCTGTTTTTATGCATCAATATCCCCTATTTCCACATATTTATTTTAAATTAATCTATATAAAGGACTGAATATTATCTTTAAAACTAATTACATGAGCAGTAAATGTCATATTAACCTCATTGAGAGAAAGCTCAAAAATCAACTTTTCTAATTTTCTTAAAACTCATTCTCTTGCTTTAGTTTAACCATTTGCCAATTAATATTCATAATGGAGCCCAGAACTGCAAGAGGAATTCAGGAGAATCATTTGGTAGGTGACTGAATCAGTAAGGGCAGGTGATGGGTCATTTTCTTCATGAACATCTCAGGAGACTTGACAAAATTTAGGTGGTAAGCTCCAACAAAGGAAAAAGAACCTGAGTGCAAACAGAGTCTTCGGATCAGTTTTGCTTATACTGGTTTGATGTAATCTAAATGAGGGATTAGTAAACCCTAGCCCATAGGCCAAAGTCAGTCACAACCTGTTTTTACAAAGCCTGTGAGATAAGAATGCATCTACATTTTTATATAATTAGAAAAATATCAAAATTGTATTTCAAGACATTTAACAGAAACTCAAATTTTAGCATTCATGAGTGAAGTTTCACTGGGGTGCAATTACACCCCTTTTTTACATACTGTTTGTGGGTCTGTGGCTGCTTTCATTCTGCAATAGTAGAGCCAAGTAATTGCAACATGACCACATGTCCTGCAAAGCCAAAATATGTACTGGGTAACCCTTAAAAAAATTTGCTGTCCTCTGATCTAGACAATTGCAATAGTAATATCAATCAATAATTCATTCCCACTTGAAAGTTTTACTTCTTTTATTTATTATCCTAAATTGGGCTCACCTCAAAATGATAAACCAAGGGGGCTGGAGTTGTGGCTCAGTGGTAGAGCACTTGCCTGGCATGTGTGAGGCTCTGGGTTCAATCCTCAGCACCACAAATAAATAAACAAATGGAAAGAAGATACACTGACAACTAAAAAATATTTTTTTTAAAAAAAAATGATAAACCAAAAGAAATAAAATTTAACAAGAGTATAATCTCAAGCCAGTACTATGAGGGTGAACTCTAATTTAGCTTCCAAAGAATGATTTCGGTGTTGAGATTTATGAAAGTCTACCCCCATCTTATCCTTAGGAACTCTTATTTAAGGCAGCCTTAATTTAGACTTGGGTCTGTAAATATGGGATACTACTCATGACTTACCTAAAATAAAGATGACGGATTTTAGGTCTTCTGAAAATCTCTTCTACATGTCATTAATGTAAAAAGATAAATATAAACAATATATTGACTTTAAACTGGATAATTAAGTCACATTTTCATCCTATCTCCCAGGAAATTTTACTTTCATGAGGAAACGAGAAATGATCTATCTACACATTAGCCTCCCATTAAGGAACAACTATGAGCTGTGCAAAGTTCTATCAACAGACATCAAATGATAGTTGACCAAATGGGTCTTGAAGAAGTACAGTTGAGCATGACCTACCACCTGAGGACCCAGAGATCCCAGATGGTAAATGATGACCCAAGCAATTTTTCCACCATAACCGATAAGCCACCTTTTTTCCTTGGGAAGAAAATAATGACAAAGGTCTACACGAAAATAATACGAAATATTTTTAATCCTAGGAAGGATTTGATTATGAGTAACCAAAGGGGGAAAAATCAATAATAATAAAAGTCAGTCTTTTAAATCAAATGAACACATATCAAATTGCTCAACATCATTAAATGGCATGATATAATTTATCCATTGAAGACATGTTCTCATCCCGTGTAAAATTGATTTAAATAGTTTTCACAGAGTGCTAAGAGATGTTATAGGCGACAGTTGATTTAATGAAGTATTTAAGGCCTCAAAACTGGGCCTTTTGGAGAATAACAAATAACACCTTTTTCTACCACTTAGGGGGAAAGGAACAACAAATGTCAATTAAGTCACAGAAACATAATTAATTTGTTTATGTTTTCAACATTTCACTGAGCTTTGCAAAGGCCAGCTATAAAGTGAATTTTATAACCAGAATTGATCTGAATATTTTCCTCATAATATTCTGTCATTTTTCTTCAGCTCTTCAAATAAAATGACAAGCCACTGGAATCCAAAGGAAATAGGCAGCTCTTTCCAAAGCTGGGACTGAGCTGACAAAATCTATTTAGTATCTAAAATTAGAAATAAAATAAATAAATTCTTTAACATCAACTACATTTTCAGAGAGTTCATTAAAAATTTAAGGCATTTTTGACATGTCAGAGATTTTAGTCCAGTGACAAGAGAAGAAAGAAGCTACCTGGGAGCAAATCCCAATTATCTCTATGGCTTGAAACATACATGTTGAGCACAGCAGAAGATGAAGAGAGAGGTGACTGGTGACTGCGGAAACTTTCTGAGTCTGTCCAGTCTGTACAACTTTATCAGGGTTCCTCTGAAAGGGTGCATTTCAAGTGTATTTTCATTCTTCTGGTTAAATTTTGTCAAGATGGGGGAAGGCATACCAATAGTCTGTTAGTGGGATAAAAATGAGTAATGCCAAAATAATTTCTTCTTTATATAAAGATTCAAAAAATTAAGTGGAAAAAAAAGTTTTATACACTGTGATATCCTCTTGAAACCCATAATGAACAATGAAACAATGGCAACTTCCTCTATACCTGTACACAACAGCAGAGCTGTACACAAAACAAAAAATTCATTTAATGAAATCAAATGGTCTAGTGTTTTATCCACCAGTCAAATACACAATTATTCATTTTATCCCATTTTCTTCAAAAATTACAACTCATACTTCATTGAAATATCTGGGGCAAAAACCTTATACCTATACCCTGCCTCCTTTAGCCAACACAGATCTTTTTTAAAAATCTGGATTAAGGTCTGTAAAGATAACTGTTTATTGGAAACGAACCAGAGCACCTTAGATCATCAATTGCCAGTGAACCCTCTTGTTTCTCAGTTCCAAAACAAAATTTACACAAAATTGATTAAATCTATCTTCAAACTTCTTTTAACAAATAATGTCCAAGTTGTGCTATGACTAGTAATCCATCATAAGAAATATCACAATTTTCTGGATCAGTTTTGAATAAGAACACTACTTATTTCATAACTGTTTATAGTACAATCACATTCTTATCATGAATACAATATATGCATTTCCAAACTTGAATTCCTGTCTATTGGCTTAGTGGGGGTGGGGGTGGGGTAAGATGCTTCCACCAAAGTCAGAATCCTCAAAAATCTTGCAGCAGAAAAATAATCAAACCGCTGGTGCTTTTACATGAAGGAAATGTCCCACTAACATTTTCTTGACTGTGAAATTATCCTAATACCTCTGTACAGTTATTTGGACTTAAGAAGAAGAAGCCCTTTCTTCTTCATGATTGTGCAACTAGTTTAATAACAAGTTTTCCCACTTATTTATTCTTCAGGCACCAACAAACTGTTTTAAGCCATTTTACTTTTATGATAATACCTGCTTATTTGCATTAATGGAAAGTCAAAGCCTTCTTACCCCCACGTGTTTTTTTTTTTTTTTTAATATTCCTTCAAACTTCCAGTCAAGCTCTTCTTACCAATTCCAACAAGGATGGAATTTCAAAGGCAATTATAGGTTTAAATAACCCAAATACATGCTAATTCTTTCTAAAAATATTACTGATGACATAAGCTTCGGAAACCAAGTAAAAATGCCCTATGTAAAAAGAAAAATTTATTGTCTTTCATTGCTCACCATTTTTTTTAATAGAAAAGATGTTTAAGGTCTGTTGAGAAAATAAATAATGGGAAAAATAATTATACCTTTAAATTTTTTTCAAATCTTCCCCCAAACATAAACAAAGACAAGACATAAACAAGATCACAAGGCTTATGCTCACATCTGCCCTCCAAAGCACACTTTTTATGTAGACATTATAAAGAATAAAAATTACCCAATAATTATATGGCATGCATCAGCAGTGCACTGGTGGGCTTAAACTTGGTTTTCAGTTATGTGTATATACAGATAAATCTCTTCCTGAGTTAAGTTTCATCTTCAGTTGAGACCCAAATCATTTGCTTTCCTTTGTTTGGCAAGGTACTTGACCATGTGATAAGGCAATCAAGCATTTCAACCTCTTTCTCATTTCAGTGCCAAGGCCTTCCTCTGTGAGATCACCAACATGACAGGTGTGAAGACACACCCTAACACAGGGTCCTGTAAAACCACAGAGACGGTTTCTTTGTTCATTAGTCTGAAGGCTACAGCACTGTCTCTTCATATATTGGGTGATCTTGAAGATTTCAATTGAACAGATTCAAAATGGTCTTCTTTTTCCTAGGGAAAAAATTAACAAAATAAATTTATTGAAATTCCAGTAAAATTTTGGGATCTTTTCCAGAAGGAAAGTTTCAAAAAATCATCTGAATCTATGTACCTGCCACTTGTAATTAGGATTTTACATCTAAGATAAGGTGGCAGACATAAAACAAATAGCATGCCTACCCTGAAGGGTGCTTTTGATGCCCAAGAGATAAGACAGACACATCCAAAATAGAAGCAAACACATGATTGCAATAGATATCAAAAGATGCAGCTGTAATTCCTGTAAAAAACCACTGAGAGCCTTCCTAAGGGCACGCCTGACCTTGATGCTGAAATCAATGACCTTGCCAGACTAATTGTGGGCAAAATAGAACTGACAGACACTAAATAATCTCAGGATAACAGAGACTAAAAAAATAAAAAGGACAGCAGAAACAAAGGAGTCAGAAGATCATTTGAGTTCATTGACTTTTTTTATTGTTTGGTTTTGGGAGTGGGGAGGTTGTTGTCTGTTTGCAGTACTGGGGATTAAACTCAAGAGCATTCTACCACTGAGCTACATAACCAGTCCTCTGTTAATAATTTTTTTTGTTGTTTTTAATTTTGAAACAGGGTCTCATTCAGTTGATTAGCCTGTCTTCAAACTTTCCATCCTCCTGTATCCGCCTCCCAAGTCCCTGGGATTATAGGCATACACAACCACACCCAGCACACAGACATTTTTTWAAAAAAAAATCTTCTGAGTACATGTCTACTAAAGATATTAAACAAGTCATATTAGATAATGCTTCAAAGTTTTAATCCAAATATATCATTGATGGTGCCATGCAATACATTCAAAATGTAGCCTATTAAATTATTTTTCTTTAATGGGTAAAAAGAGATAAAGAAGGTGAAATTTCTCCCAGTCTTAATTATTAAAACAGAGAATGTTTTCTGAAGACTTTTGAAATGAGAAGACGAGAGAACTAGGATTACTTTTAAAATAAAATAAAACAGGAAGTCAACAAGTCCTAAGTGAAAATAAATATGTGTCTAAAGTGGAAGGATAAACATAAGAAAATGACAGGAAGTAGACACTGAATAGCTGTCAGGAAGGGTTTCTGCTTTTGTGTTTGCTTTTACTTGGGGAGAGAAGTCCAAGAGCTTTAGGGTTACAGGGACAGGACTGTAAAAGAAAATCATAGGATAAATACCAACATATTGCTCCTTCCCTGGCTTTGCTGAGAGGACAGGCCACTGGGAGAGTAGACTACAGAGATCCTTAGTGCTTTTGCTGACAGGTTCTAAAAACTTGTCTGGAGTCTAGTGTTTATCAGCCTTGACAATTGTGTAAAATGACTATTGATAATTGAAATATGTATTAAGCTTGCATTGCAGTGTGGGATAAAACTAGACGTTAGGGATATAAAAATGAATATAACAAAATATCTACCCTCAGAGAGATAGGGCATATCAAAGAAAAGCACTTTAGAGTATCAGATATGAACTAACAAGGAAATCTGAGATTTCTGTGGTCATTTCTTGAAAAAAATTTAACTCAATATGTTCTTGAGGAGAGCTGAGCAAATACCTGTTGGTTATCCTCAAGGTTATTTATCAAGTAAAACACTTGAAAACCCTTCATCAAGTTATGTTTGGATCATAGGACTTGAGTCATATCCTCTGTGTTTACACAGGATTTTACTCCTATTGCTGATATGGTAGGGTATATACATAAACACATAAACGTGTGGGTGTGTGCATGTGTGTATAATTAGGCAGTGGCACTAATGGAGTTAACTTCCTGATAGTGGGAACTTTTTTTTTTTTTTTAATTTGCAAGGCAAGACCAAGGCATCATACATGGTGGATTGTCAATCCGTGGTTACAGCAATGTATTGAAACACCACTTCACATCAGGAAAAATACTAGATTGAACTCCAGAGATGTGAGATGTTCTAATCCCCATCTAGTTCCTTTGTACAAATAAGTGAGCCCCTCTAGGTCTTTGTTTGCTCATGCACAAAAGGATGCCACACAGGGTGGTCTTTTTAAACTCTAAATTAAAAAGCCGATTCAAAAGCCAACTAGTTACAAAAGATTCTCCCAAAAGATTCTCCTTACCTTGTTACTACCTCTGCTACTGCACTCCCTCTCCCCTGTGCTCCAATAGATCCTACTCTTTATTCTTGCCATACTGGAAGATTCTCTGGGTGCTTGGTGATATGTCTTCCCACAATATTCTAGATAGTGTCTGAGATAAGAAACTATGGCTAATTTGACATATCCCCAAAACCTAGCATATCACCTCATATATGTCATAAATGATTCTGGATTAAAGAAATAAAAGAAACAAAAAAATCAATTGAATAATTTTTAATTGCTGGGGAAAATCAAGAAAAATAAACACATATATAAGTATGTTTGTATGTAGTGAACTACTAAGGAAATATGAAGTAAGGTATAGCCTTTAGAACATGAATAAGAATATAAAGATAAAACAAGAATACATAAGATAAATCCTACATGATACGGCAGTTTAAAAAAATTTCTGCTCTCTGGAATCATGCATAAAAAATGTAACACGTAATAAGACTTCCACAATGATATTCACGGCTTTATTCATAGTGAAACACTGTAAATAGCACAGGTATCCTTTAAGAGAACAAAAAATATTATATCCATACAATAGCTTACTATTCCTGTATAAAAAGAAAAACATTACAGAATAACAGAACAAGGTAGATGAATCTCAAAAATATATAAAAGAGTGAAAGAAAAAACATGTAATTGCAATTATATAAGATTCTAAAAACTAATCTATGGTTTCAAAGATTGATATAGTAGTTTCCTTTGGGATAAGAGGGATTAACAGCATGCAAAAAGACACAAGGTTAGTTTCAGGGGATGTTTATATTCCATATCTTGTTAGGATTTTTATTTATACTGGCAAATACATTCTCAAAATTCATCAAATTATATGTATATTGTGATATATGCATTCCACCATAAAGAAATCTTAAAATATTGAATTCTAATCAATGATATGTATCTTGAAGTGTTTGGTCATGAAGTATATCAAAGTCTTCAACTTACTTTGAAACATCAAAAAAAAAAAGCAGAGAGACTGTTAAATAGTTAAAGGGATGGACAGATGGATGCATATAATAACAAAGCAAGCATAGTAAAATTTAGATGGAAGTTTCTAAAAATTATTGCTTATTTTTTTCAACTTCTATGTAATAGCTAAAATCTAATTTTAAAGAGTTAAAAAAAGAAAGATTATTATGCTAAAATTGCTATTCAAAATAAAATGCTCTGGTCATACTATAACAACAGAGGAAGTACTGTAATATTAGGAAATACTTTAAAATTTATACATCATTTAACATCTCTCCTCTAAACAATTCCATTTTTTCTTTAAGATTCAGCTTAGGAATTACTTTCTCTTAAACAACTTCCCTGGTACCTAAATATTCCTTTCATTATTATAAGATAATGCCCTTACAAATGGGGACTCACAGGACCAAATCAGTACAGAGAAGTCTAAATTGACACTTGAAGTTTTAATCATGGATTTCTACATATCTTGTGAAGAAGATCACAGAATGCCCCTTAATTTAAATAAACTTTCAAAGATGTTAATACAAAACAAAAACAAAACCTTGGATGATAGATAATGTCTCCTTTCAAAGCAAAGGAAAAGTTCACTTACTATCCTGAAAGGTGAGACAATGCCTCCCCGTGTGGAGAAAATAGCAAACATACTTACTGCCTATAATAAAAGACTCAGGCTCCACAACCCATGGGTTGCTCTTCTATAATACAATCCATTCTGTCATCTAGTCTTCTTCACTTCACTCTTGTGGGAAGTAAGGTTTGAGGAACCAAAACAGTGATATTTTGTATACTATTGTTATGAATAATAAACTGTTTTATGCTTGAATCAGGAGACTTTTGTTCTCTAAAGGGCACATGAAACCATGGCAGACCAATTTGTTGGCTACAAGTAGAGAAAATTTTCAAAACCTTCAGAGTTCTTCATTGCTTTGCTAATGAGGATGGGTAAACGACAGAGACATGGTTTCTAGAAGAGGAAAGATGATAGCTTCACACCTAAGATTTGAGGGAGGAAGAATTACTTAGAAGCCATAGAAATTGGTAATAGATATGCTGACCAAATTCTGGTCAAAAAGGGCAATAATCGATCCCTCATTTTATTTTCCAATAATGAAGAGGAATTGGGAGGTGGTTGCAGGAAGATGGGAAGCAGACTAATGGGTTTACAGTTCAGCTTCCTGGAAACTGCTCTGAATGTTGTTAATTCTCCTCTGGATAGAAAGACTTCCTAACTAATCAGGCAATTCACCTCAGAAGTTCCCCAAGGAAATAACCAATACTAAAATTTATCCGGATAATAAAATAAGAATTTACTCTTTTAAGATAAAAGTTATAGAGATTTGTACCTACAATGAATAAGAAAGGGAAGAAAATGGAAACCGTTTATGAACAGAAACCTGGTGAATTGTTAGAGTCTTGGCTAAGAGGATATGTCAGGGCTTAATGAATGTTAAGGAAGAATGGCAACAACTAGTCCATTTTAGGTTTCAGCACCTCTTGCCACCTATCAAGCCAAACCTAGATACACTAAAAGTGAAAGATAAAGGGCTCAGAGATTTTGTAGTGGTTCCTGACTATAATTACAGAGCTTTGTTTTCTCTGAGAGGTTTCCTGAGACTAATTTACATAAGAATACTCTGTGAGATACTATTATTTGGACTTTTACTGCCACAATTGAGTTTCCAAGGTGAAATAAGACCACTGAAGAATAGAAACTGACCCAAAGGAACCTAGATAAATTAGTATGGTCAGCTGCACCCTGGAGATTTCTCCTATCCTTTGTTAAAACTAAGCATTAACTTAGATATATGGCAACCCAGCAAGACATATTCTGGATTAGGATAAGTTCTCTTTTAAAGAAGGTTCCAATATATAAGCCAAGTCTAGATCAACAAAAGGACATGAAACCT